ATACTCTTCTGTAAAATGAGGACCATGATGTTTGCATTATGTGCCACACAGGGCTCTTTAGAAAGCACACAGAGAATCGAGAGAGGTTCCCCGTTCTTGCCATCATACCGCCACAAAGATTTGTGCCAATCTTTAGGGGTACCTTATGTTGCATGAAGAGGCAGGGAGGACTCCTGCTGGCATCCTGACTCGGGGTAGGGAGCAGCATTGCGTTCTGACATTGCTCCCCTGCCATGATTGATACCACAGTCAGAATTTGTTGTTGCAGGTCTTAGAAGGAGAGATGGGAGGAACCTTAAAGACTATCAAGTAGGACAGACAGTCCCTGTCCTCAAGAAGCCTACATTCTAGTGGGGAAGACAATGCACAAAAGGAAACTAAAACAGGCAACGGGGAAAAGGTACCCAGCAGAGTCATGTCCAAAGTAGCACAGCCTGGTGGGAAACCCCTTATTTTACGGGCAGTCAGCAAGAATTTTGGGCAGTTAGGTTGCACAGTGGTTAGAGCATTGGGGAAGACTCATCTTCCTGAATTCAAATCTAGCCTCAGACACTTAGTAGCTGTGTGACCCTGGGCAAGTCACTTAACTTTGTTTGCCTCAGTTTCCTCATCTGTAAAATGAGCTGGAGAAGGATATATATGGCAACCCACTCCAGTATCTTCACCAAGAAAACTCCAAATGGAGTCATGGAGAATTGGACACAACTGAACAACAAATTTACTAAGTATCCTTAGTATACTTAGGAACAAACAAGGAAACTAAGGCTTTCAGTGGTTAAGTGACTTGCCCAAGATCATATAGATATTAAGGAAGGTGTCCAGGCCAACCATCTTTTAATTTCTCAACAGGCTGCATACTCCTTTAGATTTCTGGGTATTTCTTCCCCCCTTTTTTAGCTTTCTTTTTTGTATTGTCTTTCCATTAGAATGTAAGTTCCTTGAGGGTAGGACTTGTCTTTCTTTTCATTCTATTTGTATTTCCAGTACTTAGTACTGTACTTGACACATAATAGGTGCATAATAAATACTTGTTGACTGACTGACTAGATTTCAAACTCAGATCTCTGACATCTGAACCCAACACTTTCCCCCATTGTACTATACTGTTTTGACTAAGGGTTTTGGTTTGGGTTCCTGTTAAATTAATTTTTAGAGATGTGATTTGAATAGTTTTTATTTTGGCTAGGTTGTTAGGATTAGAGTTGGATTCTAATCCAGCTGGGATTAAACATTCATTCTATGTGCATTGAGTGATTGCACCTATGAAATGTGTGGCGTTAAGGTCTGTAGGGGCTATCCCAGGGAGCGTGCACTGAACTTCACTGACAACTTCCGTGACATCCAGGGCTTAGTGCTGAAGGGCTTGCACTCTGAGATGATGAAGAAAATAACCTTCCTGGGGCAGCTAGGTGGTGTGGTGGATAGAGTACCAGCTCTGAAGGCAGGAAGAACTGAGTTCAAATCCTGCCTCAGACCACTAGTGGTGTGACCCTGGGCGAGTCACTTAACCCAGATTACTTGCCCCCCACCAAAAAGGAAAACAACCTTATTGGCTGCTGAGCAGGAAATGCTGCTGATCTTTAAAAGGGACTGACTTCAGCTCCTTCAACTTTGTGCTTCTTTGCCTGACCATAGATGACTGAGCAGCAATCCTGATGTGGATGTGTCCAGGCTTGGAGACAGCCTTGTGAGTCTGAGAGGTCAGGAGATCTTGGGTCCTTGTCTGCTGCCTCCTGCCCTGTGGAGGTACACTCCCTACATTCATGTGATATAGCTTCCTAAAGGAGACAACCATTGGCAAGAGGGTAAACCCAATCCTTGATCTGACTTGGCAGAAGACATGGACTTAGAAGGAAGTGTTTGGACAGCACAGTGCTAAGGTAAAATGTGAAATGCTTAATTAACAGTCCAACAAACTGCTTTGTGTTTTGAGGGTTTTATATCTCACCATCCTGGGAGAGTTTTATAGTAATCATGTCATTTCCACACCTTCTATTAAGTTCTGTCACTGTATGCTTGTCTTTTGTGTATAGTATTTCTTTTGTGTAGATGAAATAATTAGCTGATCAAGCCCTGACTTACATTGTACATTGAGTACCTTTCTACCCTCCCTCTTTGGGGAAGATACTAGACATAAGCCAAATCTAAACTTTAAATAATTTTTCCTGGGGCTCTAAGATGGGGCTATAAAGAGCCGGAGAAAGGAAAAGGAGCCCAGCCCTAGGAAAGAGGGCCCATAGTAATTTTCTGATGTTTTAATCTAACAAAAATTAAGAGCAAGGACTACTTCATTTTTATCTAAGTGCCTAAGTACCATAGCAGGTATTTAATAAGTTTGTTAATTTGAATCAATGGTCCATAGAGGGTCTTGGAGTAAAAGTCTACATGTAGATAACTAGGTTTGTGAGGACTGTTCTTATTTAGTGGTATACTCTCAGGTACTTTATACCATCCAGTTATTTTAAATGGGGTATTTTTTTTTTTACTATCTTTGGTTGTGACATATAGGAATGGTCATGATGTGTGTGGATTTACTTTAGATCCTGCTACTGTGCTAAAATTGCTTCAACTAACTTTTTAGTTGCATCTTTGGGATTTTCCAAGTATATCATCATGTGCTATAAGAAATGATGAGCTCAATGATTTTAGAAAAAACATGGAAAGACTTGAGTGAAATAATGAAGAGTAAAATGAGCAGAACCAAGAGAAGACTGTATACAGTAACAGCAATATTGTTTTAAAAACAACTTTGAGTAAATAAGTTATTTTGACTATTATAAATACCCAAATTAATTATAAAGGACATAGGAAGAATGATGCTATCTGCATCCAGAGGGAGAACTGATGAATAGAAATATGTATAGAATAATTTTACATATATATATGCATATATGTATACATATATACACCTATTTGTGTCTAATGGTACCATTTATAGGGAAAATGGAAGAAAAAATTCCATGATAGTTTTGTTGTATATTTGAAAGGAATAGCAAGTTGTACATAATAGACTTATAGCTTCATTTGTAATCAGCTTGTTTATTGTACTGTTACGGAAATGCTTGTTTTATTCCATAAATTAAATATAAAATTAGAAAAAAGTTTAAAAATTATTTAATGGTATACATGCAGTTCACCCACCTGTTTAAAATTTGGGTTGTAGTCAGGGTCACTGTTTATAGTGAGTTTTAGGGTTTGGGTTAGACAGTGCCTGAGCTGAAGGGAGGGAGATGAAACTGGGTTCCTGCTCTTCCTTTTCCAACTTCATTTTCCCCATTCCTGAGCTGAGGCAAACTGCTTTGGGAATACTCCTGCCTTTCCCTCCTTCCTTTTATAATACACTAGCCATTCCCTCCTATTACCTTCTTCAAGCGAGACCATAAGGTTAGTAGAGGGGGAATGGAGGGAAAAGCCTACTAGGACATTACTTTGTTTTAGGAATTCACAATTCAGCACATTATAGTCATAATCACAGTCTCTCCTTTGTATGATCCACCCTTCATCAGCAGTCGGAGGTGTTTTCTGTTAGTAGGGATCAACTCATATTGACATATCCATGTTCTTTTGGGACCAAGGGCACACATGGGTAAAAAAGCAGGCTGGGATCAGGACTGTAGTCTGGAACTGTTTTCCTCATACAACGGTCACTGGACCACAAAGGAGCTGAACCTAAGACTTAAGCCTCATTAGAGGCATGCATTCGACAACTCAATGGAATTTAAGTTCGTTGAAAGCAGGGGCAGTTTTATTTTTGTCTTTGTATCTCCAGGACTGTGTCCAGAACATAGCAAGTGCTTAATAAATATTTGTTGATTTGCATTCAACTAATCGTGTGGGTTTTGCCCTCCAAAGGGGCCCAGGAAATAATTCTGATGGGCCAGGGGTGGGTGTTCTTTTTATAGATCATCTCTGACTCTTGTTCTCCAATGCCTTCCCTTGGGCGTGAAAGATGGAAGAATTCTTTTCTCCCTCACACATCTTTTGGAGAGTCCTAGAATCTAGTTTGTCTTTAGGACTTTAGAGTCCTACTTAAGATCGTATATCTAGAGCTTGAAGCTCTCTCAGAGGTCAGGCATAGGTAGGTGGCACAGTGGATACAGCACCTGGCCTGGAGTCAGGAAGACTTGGGTTCAAACGTGGCCTCAGATATTTACTAGCTGTGTGGTCCTGCGTAAGTAACATAACCTCTTTGCCTCAATTTTCTCACCTGTAAATGGGGATAATAATAGCACCTCTTACCTAGGATTATGAAGATCAAGATAATATTGGTAAAGTGCTCAGCATAATCCCTGACACATAGTTGGTGTTAATATTAAACTATTAAACTATAAAATAAAATAATAAATATAAAATTAAAATGTTAGCTATTATTATTATTATTGTCTAGGGTTCATCCGCCTCACTTTAAAGATGGGAATATAGAAGCCTAGGGAAGTTAAATGACTTGCCAAGGTCACACAGGTTGTAATCAGCAGAAGTGGGTTTTGAATTCTAGAGCTTGTATACTCTCCCCTATACGCCCTCCTCCTCCTTCATTTTTATAGATGAGAAAATGGACACTTAGGAAGTTATAACATGCCCAAAGGTCAAATAGCATTAAAGGCAGGATTTGAATTCAGGTTCTCTGATTCCATAACCAGTGCTCTCTCCACTCTATCAAGTTATTTTTTTTTCCCTTAGATTTTCCTCCATTATAAACTTCAACTGGCATAGGTTTTTTCCCTTCACTGCAATGATCAGGGGACCTCCAGGAAAGAAGACAAAAGGGAACCGGCAAATATGTTTTCCTACCACAAGAATTAATCATGTACCCAGTGAATGTCTTGTGTAAATTTCTGGGAATCCCAGAAAAGCATCCATGTGGGGGAGCATGTATAATTCACCAGATTGACCATCTTTCCCACATATCCTAGGGCACAAAGCTACTTCTGTGTGTGCCTTCTCTCCTATCCTTTATGCCTTTTTTTTACTTCAGCCAAATAAAATACACAGACTCTGCATTCACAATGAAGCTTGAAACCAGTCAAGCATTTTGCTTTATTTAAAAAAAAAAAAAAAGAAAAAAAAAAGTCTAACGGTGAAGTATACAGCCTACACATGCTACAGTTAATGTTCTGATCCCCTTTCCCCCTCACATATATACTTATATAAGTTTATGTGTTATAAGGAAACAAACAAAAATAACCATCAGAGAATTCGTTTGTCTTAGATTAAGAGAAGTACTGAAATAGCCAAGATTCTTCAGCTTTATTCTATGAAACACACAAAGTGTTTGGATTCAGTCCATGCAGGACTCATTCCCTAAGGGCTAAGAGAAATGAGATTGGATATACTAATGTTCCTGATCTAGGTTATAGGAGGGGGGGCTGTCCTTATTGCTGGTAATCAACATAATAAATTGTGTCCCCTTTTTTTCCTCCAAGAAAGTAACAACTATTGCTCTTTTATGTCACTAAGGAAAGGCCTTTGAAAAACCTTCCTTAGGATAACAGAGGTTCTATCTAGTGTCTTGTCCCTGTTTGGAGTTAAGGATGCTTGATTGGGAATTGAAGGGTCAGAAACAGGATGGCACATGGAATGTTTTAACAAGACACAGGGCCACACGAGGGGCCTTGGAGCAAAGGAAGTCAGCAGAGAACTATTTAAAATTAACTTTCCCCACTGAAAAAGTGAAATCTTATGCAGTTAGTTAGATTTGAAAAATACTGATGGCACAAATTAGCAGTTGATGGCTCCTGGTTTAGGTATGGATCATAGATCCACCTAGTCTGGGACACAGATTCAACAGGACTGTCTTGGAGTAGCAGGTATTGCTGGGGGTGTCCCTAGACACCAGTACTCCTGATACTGGTTGCCAGAGGTGGAGGATTACGGGTGGGAGTAGGGGGAAGGTATAAGAATAGCTCTACCAAGTCAAAGGATGGAGCAGCTGTCATGGTACCAACACTATATCAATGATGCCAATGTGGCCATTGCAATTTCTATGACTCATCCTTTTCCTACCAAATCAGACTTTGGGGTCTGGCAACAGGCAATCTTTGGTCTCTGGCATTATTGACTGGTCGCAGCATATGTAAGTCTGGAAGAGGTGGGCCTGGGAAACTAGATCTAAGGAATCCAGGGGAAAGGCTGCAGGTTAAAACTCTTGTTTGGTACCCAACTTAACAGTCAAAAGAACAAAGAAAGATCCTATTGTGATTCAGTGGGGCTCAATATCAGTCACAGCAGCAGTAGTAAGGAAAGAAAAACAAAGCAAAATTAGATTGAGGGAATAGCAGCCATGCCATGAATTTCATATTTTCTATGTGGTCCTGACCACATCTTGATGTAAGCTCCTGGAAGGCAGGAACTGTGCCTTCTACTTCTGTGGTGAACAGGAGGAACAAAATACTCACTGGCTACCACACAGTGGTAGACTGGCTAAGAACCACGACTGCCACTATCATGCCTATGTGATCTGTGGCATGACCTTTTTAAACTAAACTTGATGGCAATTGGTTTTCCATCTTTCATTGATTTTCTGGTGGAGAGTTTGCTCTTCAGAGTTTCACTTGGCAAGAGAATCTTAAGTGGGCTGTTTGTGCCCTATATACTCAGGAATATTTTAAATCTAAGAGCTCCACTTTGAAAATTACATGAGGCAAACAGGCAGAGTCTCTACTGGGGCTGATCCAATTGAGTATTTCTTACTGCCGGACGTGGAGCCCAATGGACTTCTAATATTCCCCAGTGCCCTAACACTAAAAGAAATACCTTATTCAAGGATAGAGGTCTGACTTTCTTTAAAGCAGGTGGTACAGGATCACAGAATCCACAGATTTGGAGCTAAAAGGAACCTTGGGGGGGGGTCATCTGTTCCAATGTCCTCTTTTTACACAAGAGGAAACTGAGGCCAAGAGAAGTTAAGTGAGCTGCACAAGGTCACACAGGTAGTAAGTGACAAGGCTGTAATTTGAATTCAGGTATTGGATTCCAAGTCCAGTGCACTTTCCCCTGTACAACATTGCTTGGGAATACAACTTAATGCAGAAAATATTCATATCAAAGAGGTATTAGGATTGAGGCTAAAAGAGAAACTGGTTGTTTTATGATGCAGATTCACCCCAAGCAGTTTTAGTATAGTAGATTTGAGATTAAGTATTTGACATAGTGTGGTAAACTGGGATATGGAAATCCAATCACATTTCTGTGCCTCTTGAGTTGGCATTTAGCATGGAATTTTGGTCCACAGCAGGATATCAGGTTATGCCAGAAGTTAACCTGTCTTTGACCTGTTTGGGGTGGTGTGGGGAACATATAGTCTCTATGATAAAATGAATGTTCATTTGATTTAAAAAAAATTTCATAAAAACATTGCTGATAGCCCTTCAGAATCTACTTTCACAACAGACTGAAGACTGCATTTTTGAGTCAACTGCTGACCATTTTCTGCAGTGTTAGTCACAAAGAGGCTTGCTGACCAAATGAATGTCTTTGATCCAAAGACTGGCTTTGCCATGTTACAAGAGGCTCATCACCCAGGAGACAGAAGCATGGTGGATTTTTCACGGCAACTCATGAAGAACATCTTCTAAGGCAGAGAGGTGTCACAATCAGTGTTAATGGAAGGGTATCCATGCCAACCTAAATCACAGATCCTTGAAATTATTGCAATAATCCCAGTGGATTATGTAAATACGTCACCAAGCAAGGATGGAAAAGACCCGAGTCATAAGATCAGACCACACTGACTAACACCATCTCCATCTGGTTGGGGAAGTATCCATCAGTGAAACAAAAGAAAAAAAAATGACCTGGGCCATAGATTCAAACTGAAAAGCTGCTGCAGAAAGTAAGGAAATGTGGCTTCTGATGTAGCCGACCCCAATTAGAGGATCAACACACAATTCAATGACTTCAATTTGCAATAAAATCTCTAGAACACAGATGAAGAGGGAGGTGGTCCAATTGCCTTTGGATAGACATCAGCTGCAGAACGACTCTGACAGGAAGTCAAATCACCTTAGGCTGATAGAAACCTCAAAGATCCTTAAGTCCAAGGATCTGGGTTATCTTCACATATGCCTCTGCCATAGTGCTTAGCATGGTGCCTTGCATATAATAAGCACTCAGTAAATATTAGGTGAATGGATGAATGAAACTAGGAAGCAAGACTGTAATAAAATATGTGGTTTTCCTTTCCAAAATGAAGCCAAATTCAGGAAAGCATCAGGAAAGCTAGCAAAAGGAACATTTATCAAAAATTAGTTCAACACTGATCAAACTTAAGGTAGCTCCTTTCTCTGATAACTAGGGTCTAGGAATGACAGAGGGGATATGAGTGCTCAGACTTGCAAAGGTTACTCTCAGAGTCCCTAGGATTCTTTATCCTCGGCTCATCTTCCTTACTGCTTATCTTCTCAAGAGGTTTCTGAGGACAATGCAAGAGGGGGTCAGTCAGGAACAAGAAAAACACTCAAGTCTATTAGTCCCAGGGCACCAGGTGTTAGGTTCCCCAGGGCTACACATTCCTTAGAGGAAGGGATGAATGAAGGACATGACATTAACATGCACTGTGGAATCCAGGGAAAATGTGGATTAAAGTCTTTTTTCCTATCCAAAGGCCTCAATGGCCACTTCTTTAATAAAGCAACACATCCAGAAGTATTAAGGATGAGATAATGGACTTTTGTACCTACAGCCTTCTAATCTAGAATGTGTATGGGGAGTTGTCTTCCCAAGAAAATGGACATTAATACAGTGAAAGGGGTAATCTAGAGCTGACTTATTCCTAGAAACAAGCCATAGGAAGAAAAGTATATTCCTCCTTTCAAATGTACCACCTATCACCTGAAACCCTTGCCCCCTTTGTTCCTTCCACAGGAGATCATGGGATCACAAATTTAGAGTTGGAAGGTATCTTAAAGATCATCTGGTCCAACCCCTTCATTTTTACAATGGAGGAAACTGAGGCTTATAGATGCTAAATGACTTGCCCAAGGTCATGAAGGTATTAATGGGTGGAGCTGAAATTTAAACCCAGGTTGTCTGATTCCAAACCTACCACTCTTCCCAAGAAATCATGCTGCCTAGTCCTGGTTTCCTTAGGCTTACAGTCTGGTCTCTGGACTACCAGTTAGGATGGCTGGATGCTCATCTTGGTTATCTCACAAATTGGCTGGGTAACATTAAGAAAATGTGACTCCGTGATTCATCTGTCAAATGGGGTAAATAAGTGTTGCCCAACTTAACTCACAAGACTGTGAGGGCCAAGTGAGATAACAAATGCAAAAACACTGGGAAACTCAGATGTTTTACAGATGTGGGGTATTGAGAGAAGCAGAGCATTAGTGGGAATTAGTCCAGTTAGTGCTGAATAAATGGCAACTCTCACCCACCTCCACCTCTTAGTATCCCTTCTCTTTTCCTTCAAAGTTCAGCTCACTGTCACCTCTTACAGGAAGTCTTTCCTAATATCCCCAGCCACTAGTAGTACCACCACACCCCTCCAATTATCTTTTATTTAGTATATACTTTTCTTTGACTTCCCAACAGTATGTTAGCTCTTTAAGGGCAGGGACTGTTCTATTTTGCCTTTGTCTTCCCAGCCCCAAACATAATGCATGGTACAAAGTAGGCACTTCATAAGATTTTATTGATTAATGATAGGGCCTTGAGCGGGTGAGGCTAGTCATTCGAAGGTCTTTTGTCTTTTCCCTTATCTTTTCTCCCCACCCCCACTCCCACCAACTGCTGCAGTAGTTACTGAATCCCTGCCTTTTACCTTGCCAACGTCATGGGATTCTAGCAGCTACACCACTTAGCTATGGTCATTTCTTCCATCTAAAAAATGAGTTGCTGTGGACCTAACACACAACTATTCTTCCTGGAATCCTAAAGAATAACCAGGATGAGATACTGAGAGAAACATTCAGGAAAAAGGAGTGGTAAGTGGAGAAAGTGATGGGGTTGGGGGGAGAGGAAGGCTTTGTAATCAGTGTAGAAGCAGGAACATTTAGAACCCCTTTCTCACAGCTTTGGGGAGCCAAATGGCTCCACTGTCTTAGCTTGTATCAGCTAGCTGTCAATTCCTATTCTGGGCCTTCCTTTCTCTATTCACCAACTAGAGTTGGGCTGCCCATGAAGGACAGGTTCCCATATCTGAACAGCACCATACTGAAAGAAAAAGATGGCTCTAGGTAACCCTGGGATAAAGTGATGAACAAAGCACGTACTGAATGCTGTGCTGCCTTAGGGTAGGAATCACCCTTCTAGGACATAAAGCTTTCTCAAGAGTGCAAAATCAAAAAACAAAACAAAACAAAAAAAAAAAGGGAAAAAAAAGGCAGGTTTAGCGGACTTCTGTCCTTGTCCTCTTCTACTTTCATGGCATGTAACGATTGTTCCTCACCAAGTCAAATATGACCATAACCTTAATGAAGAAAACACCTGTTAAGATTAGAAAAAGCACACAGGCCCTTTGTGGCAGCAGGTATTCCTGCAAACGACAAAAATGGGAATGAGTTGCTTTTAGGAAAGGTTAAATGGAGGTGAACTTGGGTCATGCAAAAGGGGAATCATATAGCAAGGCCTATCCTGGGACACTGGGCCTGGCTTCATATCTGATCAAGGCTGATTAATTTTTTGGTGCTCAGAGGTCTGCTGTGGGAACTGGTATCTCAGTGCCTTTGCTAGTTACATTCTGGATACCAGCATAATCTGTGGAAAGGGTAGCTCCTGGTTCTTGGATGCTATGTGAGAGCAATTGGATGAATAGCTGCTCGTGGTCTAACAGGAACCCATTCCCCCCACTTCAAGCAGTAATTTCAATGGGTAATTGAAAACATTTACAAGGGACCTGGGTCTCATCCAACCCCCTCATATTACCGATGAAAATACTGAGGAATAGGATCAGAGTTGGCCATTTGGCCTGGAGACTACCACTGAGGATGGATTGAATCTCCCACAAGACGGACGACTGCCAAGGAACTGAATTAAATTGCATTGAGGCTGGGGGATGCACTTTCCATGATCATTACTGCTTAGGAATCAAGAGAAAGCCCAATGCACTATGGAATCCTTTCCTTTTAAAGCCTTGTAGAAAATGATAAGTTAAGAAGCTAATTAAATACCCAGGTGAAACCAGTGGAGATCTTGGCAGGATGGATCCTATAAGAACAGTGGGAACTATGGCTTCTTTCTTAGATAGTTGGAAGGAATCCAGCCTTCCCAAGAAGGCGCTCCACTTAGGACCTGACAAAACCACCAGCCACTGCTATTCTTTTCACGTACTTCAAACACAGTCCCCTCCTGGAAGCCACTGGTCTCCTCATCCCCTTCAAAGTTGGCCATAGCCACATATAATGTATCTTTGGGGACTTCCGCAGTAGGGAAAGGTACAGCAGCTGGCTTCTCCCTGGCTTCTCCTAGCTTGGTTGCTGCTTTTGGCCCGAGCCCACTTTTTATTTTGACCTCTTCTTGGACGCCTGGACCAGGTAGGAAAGGTTTGGCCTTTGGAGGGACAAGCATGGGTCGGCCAAGAGCGGGAGCAGCCTTGACTTCGTTCACCTCTCGATGTGGCACTTTGGTCTCAGGAAGGGGCCTGGAAGAGGAGGTGGTTTTCTTGGGAGGTGGTGGCCTCCGAGGAGGTACTACTGGTCTCTGCTGTGGTGACTCTTTGGGAGGGGTAGGGCTGCTCTTAGGCATAGGATCAGTCGTCTTTGCTGGCCTTAGGGGGACTTTAGAGGACGTGTCCTTTGCCACGAGACTGTCCTGTTTAGGTGTGAGCTTGGTGTCTACCACAGCTCGCTCCGGGGGCCTGCTGGAAGCCTCCCCTGAGAGCAAACTCTTGCTGATGGAGACATCGTGGGTTTCACTTGGGTGGTGATTCTCCTCTTCTGATGACTTCTCCTGAGACTTAGCAGGTCGGAGCTTGCTCCTGAGGTTGCAGATGTCCAATCTGTCCTCAGCTTGAGGAGGCTCTGTCCTGTGGGAAGAAGCTGGTTTTGGTCTAACCTGGGGTTTAGATTTCAAGAAGGGGTTCTGGGTAAAAGACTCAGGTTTATCTTCAGGCTGTTCAGCTTTGGGTTTGATGATGGGACGGAGGTTTGGCTTCTTTACTTCTTTGGCTAGCACTTTGTGCCCACACTCTAGCCCCATCTCATTTTTCTGCTGGAATAATTTGCCCTTATCTGATTTCAGCTCTGCTTTCTTGTTGTCCCTTGGTGGGGGCATGTGTTTTGGTGGAATCATGGGCAAAATCATTCCAGGAGGCTTAGGGGACCCTCTGAGCTGCTCCATCCTTTGCCGCTCTCTCTCTTGCAGTTCCCCTTCTGATTTGATGATGGACTCCTTCCGTGGTGGGAGGCTGGGCTTCTCCTCCATGTCTGGGTCAGAGATTTCCTCATACCCAGCTGATGCAGCCATATCTAAAGAGACATTCCGATGTCCCTCCTTACCCTTCCATTCTTTGGACCAAGGTATGCCACAATCTATGCCATTGTGTGGTGCTTCAGGCAAAGGTCGAGAGGGACCAGTTGCTTCATGGCCAGTGTGATTTTCCACCACAGCCTCCCCTAGGCGAAGCTGTGTCATTTCATTAGGCAGTGGAGCTAAGAAGTTGGGTCTTGAGGCATTGCTCGTTTTCTTGTACTTGTCAATGAATGTTGCTGGGGCCCAGCCTTCCTTATCATCAATTTGGATATACCACCAGCCACTTAGGTTTTTCTCAATCACCTGAAAAGTATAAAACAAATCAACTTAGTAACAATGGCTTTACAGCCATTGGACTTAAGGGAGATTCCAATAGGTCCAAGATAATATTAGGAGTTGTGTCTTTGGAGTTAGGGCATATGCAGGCAGGGGAAATTCTTAAAGCCTAGGATTCTGTACATGCACATGTGCGCGTGTGCATGCATGTGTGTGTGTGTGCATGTGCATGTGTGTGTGTTGGTGCTTAACTAGAGAGGGGAGATGCTGAAATTTAAAAAATTGCTTCAAAGGAATACAGAACTGTTACAAAGCACTGTAGCTTCCAGCCAGCACAGAACTAATTTACCACAGAACTGCCTGTTATTTCAATCCTTCCCTTGACAATATTTTCAATTCAGTCTAAAAGGAGTTTCTCTCTCCACCCCCAATTCCTGAACCCACTTCAGATCTTATAATTGATACCAGTGAAGCAATAGGATTTACTTTACATAAATTAATTTAATTGACATTAATGGAATATCTCTAACAAAAGATAGCCCTGTACATGTATGCTATGTAGAAAAGTGACTGGTGCCCCAACACCAGTAGGTAGGTAGGAGAAAGAATCCCTTAACTCTCTTTGGGGCTTAGTTAGAGCAAAATATCCTTCAAAAAGTCTTTCCTGATTCTTTGGAATGTTAGTGTTACTTTCTATTTATTTTTACATATTCTGTGTTTACTTATTTGTGAATATGTTGCAACACCTCAGTAGAATATAAGCTCGTCAAGGGCAGATGCTTTTGCTCTTCTATATCTGTTTCTCTAGGGCCTGGCACACAGTATACTATGTTATACACTCTGTAGCATGAATAAATGCTTATTAACTGAATGAAATGCCAGCCATGTGGCAAGAGCAAGGGACAACTGATGGATAGCCCACATACTCCACTGGTGCACTCTTCCAGTGTCAAGACAACTAGAGGAAGTCCAGACTTAAAATATATTACAAAGTGGTTGTCATAAAAACTATCTGGTACCAGAAGAAAATACAGAAATAGATCAATGAAATGGAATCTAGACAGCAAACTATCAGTATACCAAAGATTAGTGTTTGATAAATCTATATAAATAAAAACTAGGGGAAGGATTCACTATTTAATAAATGTACTTGGGAAAGTTAGCTGGCAATTTAGCAAAATGGATTTATGCTTATGTCTCACATCATATATAAGTGAATTCCATCTGGAGGAGAAACTTAAAACACAAAAAACCCAAACTATAAAACGATGAAAAAATGGAATAATGTATTTGCCTCAGCTGTTGAGGGGTAAGACTTTTTTTTTTCTATTCAATAAATTAAAGGAATTTTTGGGACCAGGTAGAAATGCTTGACTTACATTAAAATAAAAATTTTCTATACAATTAAACTGTGTAGTTAAAAGTTAAAGAACACAAACAAAATGGGGAGAATATTTGTGACAAATGTCAGATTAAATATGTGTTATCTAAAATATACAGGGAAAAGTTTAAAAAAATTTACAAAGATAATTTCCAGTCCAGGATGGATAAATTCAGTCAACCAGTCAATAAACATTTATTAAGTACCTACTGTGAGTCAGACACTTTGCTAAGTGCTAGGGATACAAAAAGAGGCAAAAGATACTTTCTGCCCTCAAGGAGCTTACAATCTAATGGGAAAGACAACATGTAAACAGATATGTACAATCTACATGCCAGATAAATAGGAAATAATTAAAAGAGGGTGGGCACTAGGATTAAGTGAGGTTGGGCAAAGTTTTCTATAGAAGATGGGACTTTAATTGGGACTTAAAGGAAACCAGGGAAGGCAGGAGACAGAGATAGAAAGGGAGAGCATTCAGATAGAGAAAATGCCTGGACTAGAGAGAATGTCTTCATGGAAAAGCAAAGAGGCTGATGTGGTATCACTGGATGGAAGAGTATACGGCTGGAAGGATGTGTGAGGGTAAGAGAGAGGTAGGTTATAAAGGACTTTGAAAGCCAAACAAAAGATTTCATATTTGATACTGGAGGTGACAGGGAGCCAGTGGAATTTATTAAGTGGAGGGGAAGAGTGACCTGGTCAGGTCTGTGCCTTAGGAAGTTCACTTTAGTAACTGAATAGAGAATGGATTGGAGTGGGGAGAGACTTGAGGTAGGCAGACTCACCAGCAGGCTAGTGCAATAGTCCAGGTGTGAGCTGATGAGAGCCTGCACCAGAATGGTGGCAGTCACCAGGGGAGAAGGGAGCATATTTCAGAGTTGTTATGAAAGTGAAATCAACAAGTCTCAGAAACAGATTGTATACAGGGGGTGATATAGTTGAAGATGACACCAAGGTTGTGAGCCTGACAGACTGGGAGGATAGTAGTGCCCTCTACAGTCATAAGGAAGTTGGGGGAAGTGAGGAGGGTTTTGGGGAAAGATAATGAGTTCAGTAATGGGCATGTTAAGTTTAAAATGTCTACTGGACATCCAGTTTGAGATGTCTGAAAGGCAGTTGGAGATGTGAGGCTAGAAGTCAGCAGAGAGACTGGGGCAAGATAGGTAGATCTGAGGATCATCAACAAGGAGGTGGTAATTAAATCTCTGGCAGCTGATGAGCTCACCAAGTGAAGTAGTGTACAGGGAGAATAGAAGATGATCTAGGACAGAACCCTATGGGACGCCACAAGATGTATGAACAAACAAGTTTCAAAATAGGAAACACAAATTGTAATCTCACTAATAATCAGAGATATAACTTAAACAACTTTAAGTGCCATCTCACAGCCATCAAATTGGCAAGCATAATTTTAAAAAACGAAACTCTAAGGGTGGTTAGGTTGTGTAGTAGATGGAGTACTGGCCCTGGAGCCAGGAGGACTTGAGTCCAAATCTGACCTCAGGCACTAGATGTGTGATCCTGGGCAAGTCATTTAACCCTGATTGACTCTAAAAAAAAAAAAAGAAAAGAAAAGAAAAAGAAACTCTATACTATTAGATTGTAGAGAAATAGGTATGGTACATTCGTACTTAATGAGCTAGATGGCTCAGTGGATAGAGTTCTGGTCCTGGAATTGGGAAGACCTGAGTTCAAATCTGGCATCAGACACTTACTAGCTATGTAACCCTGGGCAAATCACTTAACCTCTGTTTGCCTTAGTAGAAGGAAATGGCAAACCACTTTGGTATCTTTGCCAAGCAAACCCCATGGATAGTATGGTCCACAGGGTCACAAAGAGTCAGACATGACTGAATAAGTGAACAACGAAAACAAAACACTCATACATACATTGCTGGTGGAACTTCCAATTTACACAATCTTACATTATGCAATAAAAGTCAACAAAAAAAATCACGTCATTTGACCCATTAATCCCATTGTTGGAACTATATCCTGAAAGTTATGAAAAACAAGCAATAAGGGAGCTATTAAAATTTTTCACAGTACTTAAAAAAACCAAACAAACCTGGAAGCAACTTAAGTGTCCAACAAAGGGTAATGGTTATAAAAATTCAGATTGACAATCCGAAAGAACTTTATGGAATAATACAAAATTAAAAAGCAGAACCAGAAAACAGAATGCCCATTAACTATGACCATATGATTGGAAAAGTGAATTAGAATGGATAAAATATTTTGGCAGAGGCTTAAAGGGAGTGATTGGAAAGTTGTCTTGATATTTTGTGTTGAATTTAATAATTCATTTGCAAATTGATACCAAGCAAATTTAATTACTGAACATCATACTAATGCTCAACATTTAGTTTTAAATTATTTGCTTAAAGAAAGGTCCTCGGAACATTTGGGCCTTCTTTGGAGGATTTGTGGGAAAACAGGGATAAGAATCTTACAAGATTCTTGGTCCTAAAGAGGAGTGAAGAGAATATATCTCCTCTTTGCAGAGGTGGACTATAGGTGTGAACCATTACATAAAATGCCAGATTCGTTGCTATGTTGACTAGCTTTGATGAACTGCTTTAGCCCATTTTTTTCCTATTCTTTGTTATAAGGGATAGAACTATGGGGGGAGGAGAAAAAGGATATTTTGTGAAGCATAAGCAATATAAAAATGACATGAATACATTAAAAAAAAGATACACACAAGATGAGAAGGCAGGGGTAAGTTGTAAATGACATCACTACATCCCATTGATGACAGATTCCTCAAAGCAGAGAAATGTATTACTGATCTCTTCCTCCTAGCCTACTATTCATTAGATATTTGTGGCTGACCCGCTGGAAGAAATGAGCAGTGATATATTCAGTTTCTCAAATCTTGTTAGCACTGGGGAACCCCAGGAAGGATAAAGACACAGGAAGTCCTACTTCCTGTTCTCTTGGATATGGGCCAAAGGGAAAACTACTGGGATGCCATGACATTTCAAAGCTTGGAAAGAGATCAAAGATTCACCAGGAAATATGTCACAACTGGCTACTGGCATTCATTCATTGATTTGACAGTTATTTATTGTGTCTGTTATGTGTCAAGAAGAATGAGAGGCCATCTTTGAATTGTCCTCAAAAACCTTACAATATAAAAGTGGAAATAAGATGGAGATACATAGCTATAGAACCATGTACTGGAAGAGTGGTTTGGAGGGAGGGATGGATTAGGGACATCATGGAAAAGGTGGCATTTGAGATGAGCCTTGAAGGAAGAGTGGGCTCTCCAAAGGTAAATAAGAGGGAAAGGGCATTCAAATTCTAGATTGAAGGCATGGCATGAATCAAAACAAGGAGGTTAAAAAAAAGTCCAATGCTCAAATGAGGAACAGTGAGTACTCTACATTGGCTGCAGCATAGGATTTATACTAGAAAGTATGAGGCAATGTCTGCTTGGGCTAGAATATAGAAGCAGGATAAATCTAGTAAAGGGGTAAAGAGGAGTTTGATTTTAGACATGTTCATTTTGAGTTATGTTGAGAAATCCAGATGAAAATGACCAGCAGGCAGTTGGAAATACAAGACAGGAACTTGGTAGAGAGATCATTAAGGCTTATAGACATAGATCTGGTATCACTTGTGAACCTTCCAGGTCTCAGATAATAGACTTTGAAGGACAGGTTCAGCCACGTATAGACTATATTTTATAATATATAATTTTATAATATAATAATAATTATTTATAATTACAAATACATTTCTCTTCAGATAGAGACAGCGCTGCCTAGAGGATGTTAGTTTCTACCAGTGAAAGAAAATAGTCTACACACAGGAGGCGTTACTTACACAGTGTAATGTTGTGAAGTGATCCTGAGGGTTGTGGTCTCCATTTTGCCACTTACTAGCTATAGAACTTGGTCCTAGTCACCAATTGTGTCTCAGTTTCCTCATATCTCAAATGGGGATGACAGTAACTTTCTTTTGAGGGCCAAATGAGATAACATTTAGAAATACTTTGGAAATGTAAAATAGTTGATAATAGATATAAAAATTATAAAATTTCTTCCTACTCCTCACACCTCTTCTCCTAAATAACCAGTGGTGGGAACAGATAAGATTTCTTTCTAATGAGAAAGATTAGTGCCCATGGTACCCACTGGAGCAGAAGCTGGATTGGTTGTTGAAGATTCTGCAGAACCAGGGAGTAAGAGTAGCTAACACAAGTGGGTTTTGCTTCTTTGTAGAGCAAGAGCACCCTGAGGGCATGGATTATGTTTTCTTATTTGTTTTCTATTACTTTAGAAATGTTTGTTCAATTGTTGTTGATGATGATGGGAAGTGATGAACTGACAACAGTAGTTGTCATGGTGCCATTTCTTTCTGCCTACTTCTCATCCATGATGGTGTGTGCATGTGTGTGTGTGTGTGTGTGTGTGTGTGTGTGTGTGTGTG